CTCCTGCCTCAGCCTCCTGAGTAGCTGGGATTACAGGCACGCGTCACCATGCCCAGCTAATTTTTTGTATTTTTTTTTTTTTTTTTTTGAGACGGAGTTTCGCTCTTGTTACCCAGGCTGGAGTGCAATGGCGCGATCTCGGCTCACTGCAACCTCCGCGCCTCCTGGGTTCAAGCAATTCTCCGGCCTCAGCCTCCCGAGTAGCTGGGACTACAGGTATGCACCATCATGCCCAGCTAATTTTTGTATTTTTAGTAGAGACGAGGTTTCAACTTGTTGACCAGGATGGTCTCGATCTCTTGACCTCATGATCCACCCGCCTCGGCCTCCCAAAGTGCTGGGATTACAGACTTGAGGCACCGCGCCCGGCCTCTAATTTTTTGTATTTTTAGTAGAGACGTGGTTTCACTGTGTTGACCAGGATGGTCTTGATCTCTTGACCTCGTGATCCACCCGCCTCGGCCTCCCAAAGTGCTGGGATTACAGGCTTGAGCCACTGCGCCCGGCTTTTTTTTTTTTTTTTTTTGAGATGGAGTCTTGCTCTGTTGCCCAGGCTGGAGTGTAGTGGTGTGATCTACGCACACTGCAACCTCCACTTCCTGGATTCAAACGATTCTCCTGCCTCAGCCTCCTGAGTAGCTGGGACTACAGCCATGTGACACCATGCCTGGATAATTTTTATATTTTTAGTAGAGATGGGGTTTCACCATGTTTGCTAGGTTGGTCTTGAACTCCTGACTTCAGGTGATCCACCTGGCTTGGCCTCCCAAAGTGCTGGGATTGCAAGCTATGTGGCACTGTTTTAATAGCAAAACACTGGACTGTCTATCCACAAGAGACTGGTTGGTTAGCAAATGGCTGTTATTTTATAGACAGAAAGTTATGCAGATTTCTGCATGCTTATATGAAATGATCTCTAAGCTTCACTATGAAAAAAGGGAGTTACAGATAAAATACACTTCTTTTTGTGTAAAGAAAAAGTAGGGGAAAGAACATATTTAGAAAGAACATGAGAATATTATTTCTCATTCAAAATAATACACTTTTAAACGTTTAACAAAAAATGTCTTAATATCTTAATAGATCTTCACACCAAGTAATATCATTGAATAGGTAAAATAGTGAACCTGCATCACTGTCACCGCTCCATAAGTCACAGCTGTCCAATAGATAGAGCCGACCATTATTCCTGCTGCAGCAAATGGACAGGCTTTTGAGATCAGTCTATCTGCAAGATCCAAGACGTAAACAACTGGACCTATAATACAAAGAAGACAAGTAAAGGTTCAACACAGGGTGGATTTTTAAAATGACTTGTTTGATATTTTCTATAGATCTAAGATACCTTTCTCCCCACCCCCACAAACGACAAGGTCTCATTTTGTCACCTAGGCTACAGTGCAGTGGCATGATCGTAGCTCATTATAGCCTTGAACTTCTGAGTTCAAGTGATCCTCTTGCCTTGGTCTCCCACAATGTTGGGATTACAGGCATGAGCAACTGCACCCATCCTAAAATATTTTCATGAAGTTGGATGTTTTGATGCTTTAGAAGTAACTGTTATAAATTTGATGGGAACCCCGACTAGAATAGTTTAGAATTTCTCAGTCATTTGCACGAATAGCTAAGTATCATTTCATAAATTTTCGGAAATAGCCTTCTCAATTTTTTATATTTATTAATGAACCTAAAATTAGAGTCTCAAATACAGTTGCTTCTTATAAAGGAAACAGTCCTCTCACTTTCATCTCTTAATCATAATAGCCAACGTAGAATGAAATGGTCATTTCAGCTTGCTTTTTCCAACAAATTCCTGGCAACAATTAGATTCTCTCGTATTTGGTAAGAATATAATTTCTCTGACTTCACTCACTGCATACCTTGATATGGTATATAAAGGTAACCAGGACCATTTTCTTTTATTTACATAAAGTCGATTTATCTCTTTTTCATTTTCAATATGCTATATTTAATTGGTTATTATTCTCAAATTTCTTTTTATGATTATGAAGCCAGTTTTCATGGCATTCCAACAGCTGTATACATGTGCCAATTATGCTTCTATTACTATATGCTTACTCTGAAATCTGACTACTAGTTCCTTCTGGAAGTTATCTGGAAAACAAACATTTAAAGATATTCTCCCCCCCCACCCCAAAGACAGTCTTGCTCTGTCCCCCAGGCTGGAGTACAGTGGCACTATCTGGACTCACTGCAACTTCTGCCTCCCGAGTTCAAGCAATTCTCCTTCCTCAGCCTCCTGAATAGCTGGGACTACGGGTGCATGCTGCCATGCCAGGCTAATTTTTTGTATTTTAGTAGAGACATAGTTTCACCATGCTGCCCAGGCTGGTATCAAACTCCTGAGCTCAGGCAATCAACCCGCTTTGGCCTCCCAAAGTGCTAGAATTACAGATGTGAGCCAATGTGTCTGGCTCCAACATTTGGAGGTATTCTGACCACTACTAAGCCCAATATAATTTAGCTCCAGATTTTTCCAGAAAAGTGGAAGGGTCTCATGCCTGATTTAAAGCAAAGCAAAATATAACTGAATATCTAACTTCATATTTTTGAGTTGGGAGTCTTGTTGTGTTGCCCAGCCTGGAGTGCAATGGTGCGATCTCAGCTCACTGCAACCTCTGCCTCCTGGGCTCAAGTGATCCTCCTGCCTCAGCCTCCCAGGTAGCTGTGATTACAGGCACGTGTCATCACACCTGACTAATTTTTGTGTTTTTAGTAGAGATGGGGTTTCATCATGTTGGCCAGGCTGGTCTCGAACTCCTGACCTCAGGTGATCCACCCACCCGGGCCTCCCAAAGTGCTGGGATTACAGGCATGAGCCACTGCACCCGGCCCTAAGTTTTTTTAATTTAATTTTTAATTTTTGTTTTTCTGAGACAGAGTTTTGTTTTGTCACCCAGGCTGGAGTGTGGTGGTGAAATCTCAGCACACTGCAGCCTCTGCCTCCTGGGTTCAAGTGATTTTCCTGCCTCAGACTCCTGAATAGCTGAGATTACAGGTGTGAGCCACCAAAGGAATATGAAAACTTCTTAGAAATGTGTAAGAATTATTACTTACCTTTTAGGATCTTATAATCTAAAGGTCAGTGCTATATACAAAAACAGTTTATTTTCACTACGCAAAGAAATTAACATAGGAATCTAATGATAAAATAATTAAACATGTAAGAACAAAGCATCCATCTATGGAGCCTCTGATCAAGACTCCCTGCTGATCACTGGAGCCAATAATATCATTACATCATTGTATGAAAACAGACTATATATACATTGTAAAGTAGAGAGAACATTAGGGGAGATATTAAAGGACCTGTGATTTATAATACATATAGCATGTTTACTTATTATTGTCAAGCTCTAACTTACATAACATTTAAAACAATGATAAGGTATCTTTTGGGACCAAAGAGATGAAATAAGTCTAATTCAGTGCATACCAACTCTACATCTTCTAATAAATAGCATTTCTTGAGTGTCTACATGAGACTGTGAGCTGTGCCACAGGCATTACATGCATCATTATTTGACCACAGAATATACTGCTGAATTCTCAAAACATACAAATTTGCTGGGTTAAGTATATAACTCCCTCAGAAAGCACAATAAAAGTCATCTTAGTCACCAAAGAGCCCTCAAATGCTGGTATTAGAAGTTAAAGACTGTAGGTATATATAAAACCTCAGCACTTCAACTTTAATATCCTTGACTGATAATTCAATTTTTTTTCTTTTTTGAGACAGGGTCTTGCTCTGTTGCCCACACTAGAGTACAGTGGCATGATCATGGCTCACTGCAGCCTTGACTTCCCTAGCTCAAGTGATCCTCCCGCTTCAGCCCCCCAAATAGCTGGGACCACAGATACACACCACTATGTTCAGTTAATTTTATTTATTTAAAATTTTTTGTTGTAGAGACGGGGTCTCCCTGTGCTGCCCAGGCTGGTCTGGAACTCCTAGGCTCAAGCAATCCTCCCACTTCAGTCTCCCAAAGTGCTACGGTGACAGGCATGAGCCACCATGCCTGGCCTGGTAATTTTTTAATCAGAAAACTGAAGCCATAAGAGAACATTTAACGACCCTCTCCAGCACATATACCCATCAACCAATATTCCACCTATCTGAAGTCAATCCCCTCACTTACACACTAGATGATCCTAAGCCCTCACCAACTCAAGGCCACAGCTCCAGCAATCTTCTCTCACTCTTGTACATAATTTCCCCTTACTCTTTACTGGATCTTCATCAAACAAACTTGCTATTATTTGTGTTAAAAAAAAAAAAGTAAAAACAAATTCTTTTCTTGAGCCCTTTTGCCCCATGTTCATTTCATTGCTCCCTTTGCAACAAAATTACCTAGAATTGTCTCTCTCTCTCCTTAGTTTTGAACCCACTCCCCCAAAACTGCTTATCAAGGTCACTAACAACCTCCATTTAACCAAATCTAATCAATTTTCATCTTCTTTGGCCTAACTAGAACTGTTTTGAGACAGAGTCTCGCTCTGTCACCCAGGCTGGAATGCAATGGCGTGATCTTGGTTCACTGCAACCTTTGCCTCGTGGGCTTAAGCAATCCTCTGCTTCAGACTCTCAAGTAGCTGGGACTACTGGTATGTACCACCACACCTTGCTAATTTTTGTATTTTTTGCAGAGATGAGGTTTCGCCACGTTGCCTAGGCTGGTCTCGAACTCTTAGGCTCAAGTGATCTGCCCACCTCAGCATTCCAAAGCGCTGGACTTACTGGAGTAAGCCACTGGGCCAAGCTCAGAAAACATCTCTGGTTTTCTTTCTATCTCACTACTCACTCTTCAGTCTCCTTTGCTGTTTCTTCCTCTTTTTTTTCTTTTTAGAGATGGGAGTCTCACTATATTGCCCAGGCTGGCTTCAAACTCCTGGCTGAAGTGATCCTCCCATCTAAGCTTCTTGAGTAACTGGGACTACAGGTGTGTGCTGCTATGCCCCTTCCTCTTCTTCCTGACTTCAATGAAGCCCACCCTGCGAACCCCTACTTTGTCACATTCCCCATTTGATTACCTCGCCATATTTTTCTTTTTCCCAAAGCACTTATCACCTAACATACTCTAATTTACATATTAATTATGCTTCCACATATTATAACAGAGGTTGGGAAACTAGGGCTTGTATGCCAAACTCAGACAGCTGCCTGTTTCTGTAAATAAAGTTTTATTGGAACATGGGCACATGCAAAGTCTAAAATATTTACTATCTGGTTCGTTACAGAAAGGTTTGCTGATTCTTGCATTAGAAAATAAGCTCCAGATTGGGTGTAGTGGCTTGCGCCTGTAATCTCAGCACTTTGTGAGACCAAGGTGGCTGGATCACCTGAGGTCAAGAGTTTGAGACCAGCCTGGCTAACGAGGTGAAATCCTGTTTCTACTAAAAGTACAAAAAATTAGCCGGGCATAATGGTGCATGCCTATAATCCCAGCTACTCGGGAGGCTGAGAGGCAGGAGAATCGCTTGAACTCAAGAGGCAGAGGTTGCAGAAAGCCGAGATCACGCCATTGCACTACAGCCTGGGCAACAAGAGCAAAACTCCGTCTCAAAAAAAAAAAAAAAAGAAGAAGAAAAAGAAAAAAGGAAAAAAGCTCCAAAGGGAAAATGATCTGTTTTGATCACTGATCTATCCCAAGTTCCTACAACTCTCAAGTATTTGTTGAACTGAATTCTCTTGTACTTGGAACTACCTACTGATGGAGTAAAGCAATATATTCCTAAAAAAAAAATTCAAATATTTGAATGAAAGCAGAATTCCTAAAATATAACCCAACACTATTACTTTTATCTATCATGAACAGTGACAACCTACAGATGTTTAAATTATTTTTCTTGTTTTTCCTTGGAAGATCTCAGAAGGTTCTAACAAGCTCAGTTTTCTTTGTGAATCCTGGGTATGAAGTCTTTTGTATAAGAAAAAAAATGTCCATATTTCCTCTTTTGGAAATTTTCTACTCATCTCCTGTGTTATAGGCAAAAGATATACCAGATAAAATGGAGACACGGGTTGTATTTTATAGCACCTAATTAAAGTTTTTCTGACAAAATTCTGTCTTGGCTTTTGTCTTAAGTTTACTTTGTCTAAATCTCTTAAGGCTTTTCCAGACAGACTAGTCTAAAATTAGCTTAATATTTAAAAGAAAGGATAAATGCCTACTGTTAAGCATAGCATTAGAATAATAAACTGCCACCCAGGGGAGATATTTCTGAGAGCTAAAGATT